AATGGAATTAGTGGAACAATTGGAACAAATGGAATCGGAACATTTGGAACAAGTGGAATCGGTAAAACATTTGGAACAAATGGAATAGGTGAAACATTTGGAACGAATGGAATCGGTGGAACATATTTGGAACGATGGGATTGGTGGAACAGATGAAAAAAAGGGAAGGGTGAAACAAATGGAATCGGAGAAACATACAAAACATGTGGAACTAGTGAAACCTATGGAACAAGAGGAATCAGTAGAACACTTGAAACAAATAGAATAAACGGAACCTTTTGGAACGAAAGGAATTAGTGGAACACTTGGAACAAATGGAATCGAAACACTAGGAACAAGTGGAATCGGTGGAACATTTGGAACGAATGGAATTCGTGGAACACTTGGAACGAATGGAATTGGTGGAACACTTGGAACAAATGGAATCGGAACATTTAGAACAAGTGGAATCGGTGAAACATTTGGAACAAATGGAATTTGTGGAACAATTGGAACAAATGGAATCGGAACATTTGGAACAAGTGGAATCGGTAAAACATTTGGAACAAATGGAATAGGTGAAACATTGGAACGAATGGAATCGGTGGAACATATTTGGAACGATGGGATTGGTGGAACAGATGAAAAAAAGGGAAGGGTGAAACAAATGGAATCGGAGAAACATACAAAACATGTGGAACTAGTGAAACCTATGGAACAAGAGGAATCAGTAGAACACTTGAAACAAATAGAATAAACGGAACCTTTTGGAACGAAAGGAATTAGTGGAACACTTGAAACAAATGGAATCGGAACATTTGGAATAAGTGGAATCGGTGGAACATTTGGAACGAATGGAATTCGTGGAACACTTGGAACAAATGGAATTGGTGGAACACTTGGAACAAATGGAATCGGAACATTTGGAACAAGTGGAATCGGTGAAACATTTGGAACGAATAAAATTAGTGGAACAATTGGAACAAATGGAATCGGAACATTTGGAACAAGTGGAGTCGGTAAAACATTTGGAACGAATGGAATGGGTGGAACATTTGGAACGAATTGAATCGGTGGAACATATTTGGAACGATGGGATTGGTGGAACAGATGAAAAAAAGGGAAGGGTGGAACAAATGGAATCGGAGAAACATTCGAAACATTTCGAATTAGTGAAGCCTATGGAAGAAGTGGAATCAGTAGAACACTAAAACAAATTGAACAAAACGGAACCTTTGGAACGAATGGAATTAGTGGAACACTTGGAACAAATGGAATCGGAACATTTGGAATAAGTGGAATCGGTGGAACATTTGGAACGAATGGAATTAGTGGAACACTTGGAACAAATGGAATTGGTGGAACACTTGGAACAAATGGAATCGGAACATTTGGAACAAGTGGAATCGGTCAAACATTTGGAACGAATGGAATTAGTGGAACAATTGGAACAAGTGGAGTCGGTAAAACATTTGGAACGAATGGAATAGGTGGAACATTTGGAACGAATTAAATAGGTGAAACATATTTGGAACGATGGGATTGGTGGAACAGAAAAAAAAAGGGAAGGGTGGAACAAATGGAATCTGAGAAACATTCAGAACAAGTGGGATAAGTAGAACACTTGGAACAAATGGAATAAACGGTACCTTTAAAGCAAATGGAATTAGTGGAACACTTGGAACAAATGGAATCGAAACATTTGGAACAAGTGAAATCGGTGAAACATTTGGAACGAATGGAATTAGTGGAACACTTGGAACATATGGAATCGAAACACTTGGAACAAGTGGAATCGGTGGAACATTTGGAACGAATGAAATCGGTGGAACATATTTGGAACGATGCGATTGGTGGAACAGATGAAACAAATGGTATGGGTGGAACAAATGGAATCGGAGAAACATTCAAAACATGTGGAATTGGTGACACCTATGGAACAATTGGAATCAGTAGAACACTTGGAACAAATGGAATGGGAACATTTGGAATGAATGAAATTGGTGGAACACTAGGAACGAATGGATTCGGAACATTTGGAACAAGTGGAACCGGTGGTACACAATTGGAACGAGTGGAATTGGTAGTACTGTTGCAATCGTTAGAGCACAATCGGAACAAGTGGAATCCATTGAACACTTATAGAACAAATGGAATCGATAGAATTTTTGGAACGAGTAAAATTGATGGAACATTTAGTACGAATGGAATTGATGAAACACGTTTGGAACATATGGAATCAATGGAACATATTACATAAGGAATTGCTAAAACATTGAAGCAGTGGTAATAGGTGGAACCTTTGGGACAAATAGAATCGATAAAACATTGATAACGAATGGAAACAGTGGAACACATTTGGAACTCATGGAAACGATAAAACATTTGGAAGACATGGGATATGTGAAGCATTTGAAACAAATGGAATGTAAGCTTGATGTAGAACTTATGTAAGCTTAATGAAGAACTCATGCAGTATTTATTTAGAGTTAATGTAGAATTCACGTAAAATTCATGTAAAAACTTGCAGTTAAATTTAGTTGTCATGTAGATAGTGTGTATAATTAATATAGAATTTATGTAGGTTTAATGTATAATTCATGTAGATACCATTTTGAAAACATGTAGATAACGAGCAAATTACACGTAAGTAACACGTACTACTAATGTAGATAACTGGTACGACTAATTTAGATGACCTGTAGAATTTATGTAGTTAAAATGTGCTAAGCGTGTTCATTTTATGTAGACATGTAGGAAATAATGTCAATGATTTGTAGAATACATGTAAATATCATTTAAATAAATTCTGATATTTTTCTAAATTGTTTTAGGAGTGTATATCTAAAAAATAAAGACCTTTTGTAAATATTTATTGCCTTCCTAAAGTCCATATAGAAATTAGAATTTCTTGTCAAATTTTGAGTCATTTAAAATTCTGAAACAATTACTTTATATTTTAAAAACTTCGTATTCATTTTGTGTACAGTTTTTTATAACATACATTTAATGCATCAACACATAAACTTACAAGGCTTATAAAACAAAAAAAATAAAATTTGTATTTAACCTTTTAATATTAAACATACTTTTCATATAAGATTGTTTTATTTTTTTTTCATTGAAATTGATATACCTCAAAAAATTACTTAATTTTTGATTAAAATTGTATAACAAATTTTTCCACAAAAACAATTTAAAACGAATAAAGTTTGTTTCAGTTTTAAAATGTTATAATCAAGTCATTAATTATGTGTTCATGTGAGTTTCGTAAAGGAGTAATATACCATTATTGCAAAATTATGGTGCAGTCTATGTCAAATTCATTGGTTAAATATGTATTATTTACATTGGTTTATAACAATGTTCATGTTCACTTTATCTGTAATTCATTAAAAATTCTTCCGGCATTCATGTAACAATAATCCATATTTTTTGTTCAATGCATGTACAAACAATCTGATTTATACATGCGGCCGGCGTAGTACTGTCTTCTACTTAAGAATTCTTATAGGGTGTTCAAAAACATTGCTAAGCTATTAAGACGCTCAAAACATTTAAAACAAATTTAAATTTGTCATAATTCCTTTATAAATCATTTTTAACATTCAATACAGACAAAAATATTTTTTTAAGTAGGATATGCCGTTGCAACCATTTAATAACTTGTTCACTATAAAGCACACAAAAATATTAATACGATTTCGTATACTATTTTATGTTTTTTTTATGTTTTACTATTACTTATTTTTAATTTGTGTATTATTGTGTAAGAAATATAAATTACAATTTTAATTTAAAATAAAAAAAATTGAGTACGCACATTTAATAGTTTGTATTTTTATTTATATTTATAAGCTGAATTTTTTTATTTGTTTGAAAAAGCATTTTTTAAATTGTTTGGGATTTAAATATCAGCGATTAGATACCAGCCTTGTCTACTGCTATTATTTAATAGTTCGTGTTAGTTCTTCAGTCAGAAAAATTTAAATTTATTTAATGTTAGGCCTATTTTATAATGAGAAGATGATACTTATGTTAAAATCCGGCGATCGTGCTACTGTCTTTTTTTATCGCAATGTGTCAGCTAAACGCCTGTATGCGACAGTTAAATCCTAATAAAAAAGCGGGGTGCTTTTGTTCTTAAAAATAATTTGTTTACTGTAGAGTCCCCAAAAATATAAAGCTCCATACGTTTGTTATTTCGACATTGCAGAGATAATATTTTAGCGGTGTTTAAAGTTACTTGTTTTTAAATCGGTTAAGATTGTGTGGAAGACTATACAATTTATTTTCCACTCAAGACAATTTTGGCAGAAAATTAAAAATTAAATGCTTTCTATACCAAAACAACGTATAATTGTGTGCAATCCGACATTTAAAAAAGAAATGAAGTATTTAAGCTTGAGGCAAGTATTTTTTATGGAAAAACATTGCCAAGCATTGAAAATACAGAACCCGAAAACAAAATGCTGTTTTTAAGCACCAATTTTCAAGACCGAAATTACTAGGTGTCAGAACTATTCGGTATACAATCAAGTATGAATAATTCTAAAATGTACTCATATGTGTACTAGAAACGAAAGATTTTATAATAATAAAATGAGAAAGTTGCAGGCATCATTTAAGGACGAATAATTCCTAAAGCAATATTCATTTATTGCAAATTTAAATGGGGTTTTAATTATGTGCTAGTAAGATAATTAAGTTTTGGAAACTGAAATAAACGAGATTTATCTATATAATATGAATTATTTTAAGTTTACATACGATTTGAAGCTCACGGGCATTACCACTGTTTACTTTATGCTCCTTATATACCGAGCACTTTTAGAATAAACAGTTTGAAATTAATAGATATTTAAATACAAAATGTGCTTAATGTGAAACATTTTTAAGCACGAACATTCCTAAATGGTAAGCATTAGATCGTTCTTAACTCAAGGCTAATTGTACTTGATTTTAGAACGGTGTTCTTTCCCAGAGGGTATATTTTTTATTATAAAAGATTTTTAGCTTTGGGAATTTTTATTTAGCTGCGATTAGTTTTTAGTTTAGTCCAAAGCTATTAATTGTTAGTTGGTGTTAGTTCATCTGTCCGAAAAAATAATTTAAATTAATTTGTGTTTGAGGGCCATCCTAGTATAAGATGAAATTTATGTGTCGTGAGTATTGTTGTTCTCTTCTAACGAATTGGGCTAGCAACACGCCAATCGCATCGTCTGCGTTCTGTTAAATTTGCTGCGTGCGGATCGCAGCCCTCATCTAACGAATTGGGCTAGGGAGTCTTGACATTGTCTTCTTATAATGATTCATAAAACATAAAAAAATGTATATATTGTGTTAGTTCTAGCTTTAAAACTTTTTAAAATTTTTTTTATTAACAGAGGAATTTTTAAGTATTTGTAATGCCTTGCAACAAGCAAATATATTTTGTTTCTTATAGCGAACCCAAAAATAACTAGCTGCATTTGTATATTATTTTAAACCTTGTAGCGATATTAGTTATGCCGCGTTCTAAGTTACTTGTCCTAAATTCGTGTAATATTGTTTGAAAGAATAGGAATTTAGTTTAAGATTTAAAACAAAACAAATTTTTCGGAAAATTTAAACATAATTGTATGAAATGAATTAAAGTGCATTCTTATTGATTGTATTATAAAAATGTTTTTTTCATTGAGATTTTTTTTGTTTTAGCCGAGACTAGTTTATAGCCTTGTCAATGGCTACTTATAGTTGGCTGGTGTTAGTTCATGTTTCGGAAATATTAAATAATAATTCGTAAGGACCACCCTAATATAAGAAAATGCTAAATGTTACACTGGCGGCGTGCATCTTTTGCTTTCCTCTTCTAACAAACTAAAAGTTTGCCGCTGCGATTGACGCATTGCTAGCACAATTCGTTAAACAATACGCACACAGCCATTTAATAAAGACATATGCGTCGTAGACCAGCGTATTTCTGTTACAATTCGTTAGAAGAAGACCGCAATACGCTCGCCGCCATTTGAACATAAACAAGATCTTAGATTATTGGCCCCGAACACATTACTTTAATTTTTCCGACATGAAATAACACCAAATAATAGCTATGAATAACGCTAAAAACTAATCGCAGACTAAATATAGAAATAAGTATAAATAAAAAATTCGTTTATTAAGAGTTGTGGATACGGAATGCAATTATTTTTAAATTCGGGGACAAAATTTATCTAATTTTTAATTGAAACTTAGGTAACTTTGAACAGCTCTAAAGAAATATCGCTACAAGGTTTAAGTAATATACGAACGCAGCTTGATATTTAAGGGTGCTCTATAGTAAATAAATTATTTTTAATTGTTGCGACGCAGAACAACCACTTTAAAATAACTTCGTTAATTAACTATTAGAAAAATTATTTTTTAATACTAAAAATATTGCAAATTTAATTGTAATAATCAATAATATTAATTGTAACAATGTCGAGACACCCTAGAGTTTTTCCTTAGAAGAGAACAGCGTCTGGCTCTCCGGCGTTTTATCAGAACTTGGACGCTGCGGCTGGCGTGTTGCCAGCCCAATTCGTTAGAAGAGGAAAACAATACCTACGCCGCCATTTTATTAAGGCTTGCGCGTCGTAAGCCAACTTATTGCTGACACAATGCGTTAGAAGAAGACGGCAATACGCTCGTCGCCATTTTAACATAAATGGCGTATAATAATAATAGGGTGGTCCCAAAACATATCGTTTTAATTTTTCCGACATATGAACTAGCACAAACATTAGATATAAGCAACGCTAAAAACTAATCGCACCTAAAATAAATAGTCCGTATAAGTTATCTGAGGTTGTTTGCTTGTAAAAACAGTCTTGCTTACAGCTAAGACCCAATTTAGCCAACTTTCGACATAAAATATGAACAGAAAAACTCTTGTTCTTGCCATAAGTTATAAATCCAAACTTGCACTAAATAATATCAGTATTTTTTCCAAGGCAACTCAACAAATAGTCCAAATGAGGAGTGTCATACCGCGTTGAGTTCGTAATAAAATTTCCAATCGATTGGCATTCAATCCTAAAAACTTTAATTTTTGTCAATTTTTGTCAAAACACCAAACACGATTCAACCCGTTATGAAAAATTCAAAAATCGGTCAAATATTTAAGTCTCCTAAATTAAACCGAAAATTATTTGGATCGTTAGCTAAGGTTGTTAGTTGGTAAAAACAGTCATACTTTCGACTGAGACCCAATTTACCCAACCTTTGACATAAAATGTCAACGCAAAAATTTTTGCTCCTGCCATAAGTTATAAATCCAAATTTTCACTAAATAATATCAGTATTTGGTCCGCGGCAATTCAACATATGGTCCAAATGAGGAGTGTCACAACGCGTTGAGTTCGAAATAAAATTTCCAATCGATTGGCATTCAAACCTGAAAACGTTATTTTTTGCCAATTTTTGGCAAAAAATAAATAATGTAACCCGTTTGAAAATTTAAAAAAATATATACATTTAAATATATATATATATAAATATACATTTTTATACTAGAACTAACACGACTTAATAATTTTATTACGTTTCATGTATCTTAATAGAAAGGCAATGTCGAGCCACCGTAGAACTATTCGGTAGAAGAGGACAACGACACACACGCCGCCATTTTAACAGAACTTGGAAGCTGCGATGAGCGTGGTTTCCGCTCAATTCGTTAGAAGAGGACAACAATACCTACGCCGCCATTTTATTAAGGCTTGTGCGTCGTATTGCTGAAACAATGCGTTAGAAGAAGACAGCAATAAGCTCGTCGCCATTTTAACATATATAGCATCTTATATTAGGGTGGTCCCAAAACATATAATTTTAAATTTTTCGACATATGAACTAACACCAAACAATAGCTACATATGAACAACGCTAAATCTGATCGCAGATAACATAAAAAAATTTTTAAATGAAAAATATAGAACTGCAATTATTTTATATGAGTTACAACGCCTAAAATGCAGCTTCATATTTTTGGGGCTCTATAGTAGTCACATTATTTTTAATTGTTGCGCGCAGGACACAGAGTTAAAAAATATATTTGATAATTAAATATTCAAAATATATATTTTTTTACTTAAAATATTCCAAATTGAAACGTAAACGCTTCATGCGCTTTGATAAAATTGCAGGATGGACAAGGCTAAAACAAATCGCAGTTAAATAAAAAAAATCCTTATGAATTAAAAATCTTTTATAACGAATGTTATAGGAATACAGAGATAAAAATACACAGAGCGAAAAAATATCTTTGTTATTAAAATATTCAAAATATATATTTTTTTACTTAAAATATTCCAAATTAAAACGTAAACGCTTCATGCGCTTTTATAAAATTGCAGGATGGACAAGGCTAAAACAAATCGCAGTAAAATAAAAAATATCCTTATGAATTAAAAATCTTTTATAACGAATGTTATAGGAATACATCAATATATACGAGTTCGGGGCATAGTAAACAAATATTTTTAAATTTGCTGACAAAATTTTTTTTTTTTGAATTGTAAATGTAATTTTTATTCTTTAACAAATATTGCACGAAATAAGAACTAGTTACTTTGAACACCGCTAAAATAATATCGCACGCGTCAATTTCCTAATACGCACGCCGCCAGTATTTCGCCCGGTGCAACTCAAAAATGGAATAAAAAAAATCGTTAGCCCCCTATGAAAAATTCAAAAATCGGGTTATTATTTAAGTCTTCTAAATTTATCCGAAAATTATATGGATTGTTAGCTGAGGTTGTTTGCTGGTAAAAACAGTCGTTCTTTTAGCTCAGGCCAACTTTTAGCCAAAATAAAACAAAATATATCAACCAAAACAGGAATCTGTTGTTGCCATAAGTTATGAATCCAATTTTGGCACTAAATAATCAGAATTTTGTCCCAGTCCAAATGGGGAGTGTCATACCGCGTTGAGTTCGTAATAATATTTCCAATTAATTGGCATTGAAACTTGAAAACGTTAATTTTTGTCCATTTTTGCCAAAAAAAAAAAGAGAAACGTCAACCTTTTATTAAAAAATGCAAAAATTGGCCAATTATTTAAGTCTCCTAAATTTACCCGATACTGATTTATATCGTTAGCTGCGGTTGTTTGCTGGTAAAACAGTCATTCCTTGAGTTTATTGTTGTAGTTGTATAGTAGTAGTAGTATTATTTTTTTAAATTTGAGTCAGCAGTAGCTGTAGCTAAACTTGATAGCTGGTTATTTTGCACCATTATTGATTGTGTTGATTTATAGTTTTAAACTGTCTATTTATTTCATGCATTTTATAAATGCACTTTTAATTTGTTGTCCACTCACCTTATTTTAAAGTTAGTCCTTGTGTGTTTTGGTGTTAATCCGTTTGTGCCTCGTTCAGCTGTAGGGAAAAGAATTAATAAATGAGATATAAGTATATATGTATAACAACAATAAACGAGATAAACGTGCCGTTTGCTATATTTAAACAAGAAAGGAAGTTAGCTTCGGCAATCCGAAGCTTATATACCCTTGCAGCTATAATTATTAAATTTAAAAAAACAAAAAATGATATTCCCAATAGTAAAAGATAATATGTCAAAAAACACCGAAGCTATAATTTGTTTCATATTATTTTCCTACCAATTTTCCGATCGTTCCTATGGCAGCTATATGATATAGTCGTCCGATTTTGATAAAATTAAATTCGAAATTCAGAACTAATTAAAAAATGTTATTTCCAAGCGTTGGAGGTTATATGTTGAAAAACACCGAAGCTATAATTTGTTTCATATTATTTTTCCACCAATTTTATGACCGTTCCTATATGATATAGTCTTCCGATTTTGATAAAATTAAATTTGAAATTCAAAACTAATTAAAAAATGTTATTTCCAAGCTTAGGAGGTATATAAGCTAAAAAACACCAAAGATATAATTTTTTTAAATTTGTTTTTCCTAATATTCCTATGGGAGCTATAAGATATAGTTGTCCGATCCGGCTGGTTCCAACTTATATACTACCTGCAAAAGATATAAGGCTTTTGGGAAAGTTTCAGCCCGATAGCTTTAAAACTGAGAGACTAGTTTGCGTAGAAACGGACGGACAGACGGAGATGGCTAGATCGACTCGTCTAGTCATGCTGATCAAGAATTATATATATATATATATATGGGGTCGGAAACGTCTCCTTCACTGCGTTGCAAACTTCTGACTGAAATCAATAAGAATTGGCCAACTTACCTTTTTGCATTAATTGCTCGTCCACGTCCGTTCTCTTTGAGTTTTTTTAAGCACTGCTCACGCAGTTTGGTTAATAAGAGAGGGAGAGCGAAAAAAATGATGGCCGCCGGCGCACACTGAACGCTTCCAAATACACTGTGCCCAAAAGTACCTAGTATGAATGATTTATTACATTTTATTTATAAATGCTTTCGCGTATATAAATATTTAATTAATAAATAGCTAACAAACAATGACTAATTCATGAATGACAAAGAAACAGAACGAAATAATAAAATGTAATAAATAATTTTGTATTGTACATGAACATAAATCAATAATTATTATTAATAATGAGGAAAAATTATGGAAAACGTGGCATTTAAACAACATGTATCCTTAGATTTAGATAGTTTTATTTTCTTTAAATTCAACATTCCATATTTTTCTCCACGTGCCTGAGCCGTCGGCTTCGACCGAGACAGAGAGAGAGCGAGAGTGATGTGGACACACAGAGAGAACGGAAATGAATGGGACAAAAATAATAAGTAAATAACATTGTATTAAATTGAATACTGAATAATAATTAGGTTAATTACAAATAAAAGAAAATAATAAGTAATGCATGGTATTTAAACAAGTATATCTTCGTGTTAGATTTTTAAATTTTAATTTTTCTTAAATTTAACATTCCCTTTTTTCTCCAAGTGAGCAAGCCGTTCTCTTCCATAGACACAGTTGGGGAGAGGGAAAGAGCGAAATTTAAAGTCAAAGAGAGGAGTAAACGCAAAGAGAGGGAAAAAATACTTTACATTTTCGTTGAATTCTGCCCATCAAAATATGTTTGTACATATGTAAAACATCTGAATAACGGCCCGCAAAAGAATGATAGGTCAAAGAAAAAAAATGTTACAGATGCGCAAGAAAGCACGGTAACTAGACTGGTTGGCGCCAAAAATGGTTGCGGTTAATTTTGGTTGTGTTTGTCTGCTGCTTTGCTTTGTTTGTGTATGCATGCATGCACGCCGATTTAATTTTTTGGCCTTGCCGTCGTGGTGTGTGTGCCTTTGTGCGCTGTATAATTGGGTGGAGGCTTTATGTTTTGTTGCTGGTTTTCGGAATTTAAAATGCCGGCAATCAAAGGGCACAAAACCTACATATCCAAACAAGCCGTTATAGGTGTTGTTTGCATGTGTTGTATGGAATATTATTAAGCAATAGAAACGTACAATAAATGGAAATGAACAATAAATGGACCAAATTGCAAAATTTTTGTTATTGGTATTTAAAAATAAGGTCAATCAAATCAGAGAGGGCGGAGAGGGAAATATTTGTTTACAATTAGTTCTACTCGAGAAAGAGATGGACAATATTTAAATATGTTATTTTAACTTACAAAAGGTACCAAATGGTTTTAGTTAGCATATTACTCGCAGTCCGGTTCATTTTCTTTTCTTCCATTGTCGAATTTAAAACACTTGTAAAATTAAACAAAAAATGATATGTGCATACATGCATACATATATACGTAATGCACTTTTATACCGGCATCTGATCACACAAACACATATAGCCGCTTGTTCATATTTTACACGATCGCCTACGCAGCACAGTTTAAACTGCGCCACTCTTTAATTAAGGACACTATACTTCAGATAATGAGTCCACAGCAAGTCGATTGTGTAACTTTGAACTATTTAGCAACTAAGCGTACGCGTAAGCGGTGCCGGCACCTAATTGCCCGTCCGCGATGATGTCCGATCTCACTTTGAATAGTCCGCTTTGAACTGCTTACGCAGTAAAGAGTATAAAAGTATATATAAGTATAAGAGAAAAGAGAATAAGACAGAGGGAGAGATCGAAAAAATGGCGCACGCTGAATGCTTCCACATGCACAGGGCGAAAAATACCTAGTCTGATTCGATTTAAGCTTTAAGCACTGCTCACGGAGTTAGGTCAATAAGAGAGAGGGAGAGCGAAAAAAATGATGGCCGCCTGCGCACACTGAACGCTTCCAAATACACTGTTCCCAAAAATACCTAGTATGAATGATGTATTACATTTTATTGATTAATGCTTTCGCGTATATAAATATTTAATTAATAAAAAGCTAACAAACAATGAATAATTCATGAATGACAAAGAAACAGAACGAAATAATAAAAAGTTTGTAATAAATAATTTTGTATTGTACATGAACATAAATCAATAATTATTATTAATAATGAGGAAAAATTATGGAAAACGTGGCATTTAAACAACATGTATCCTTAGATTTAGATAGTTTTATTTTCTTTAAATTCAACATTCCATATTTTTCTCCAAGTGCCTGAGCCGTCGGCTTCGACCGAGACAGAGAGAGAGCGAGAGTGATGTGGACACACAGAGAGAACGGAAATGAATGGGACAAAAATAATAAGTAAATAACATTGTATTAAATTGAATACTGAATAATAATTAGGTTAATTACAAATAAAAAGAAAATAATAAGTAATGCATGGTATTTAAACAAGTATATCTTCGTGTTAGATTTTTAAATTTTAATTTTTCTTAAATTTAACATTCCCTTTTTTCTCCAAGTGAGCAAGCCGTTCTCTTCCATAGACACAGTTGGGGAGAGGGAAAGAGAGAAATTTAAAGTCAAAGAGAGGAGTAAACACAAAGAGAGGGAAAAAATACTTTAAATTTTCGATGAATTCTGCCCATCAAAATATGTTTGTACATATGTAAAACATCTGAATAACGGCCCGCAAAAGAATGATAGCACAAAGAAAAAAAATGTTACAGATGCGCAAGAAAGCACGGTAACTAGACTGGTTGGCGCCAAAAATGGTTGCGGTTAATTATACCCGTTACTCGTAGAGTAAAAGGGAATGCTAGATTCGTCGGAAAGTATGTAACAGTCAGAAGGAAGCGTTTCCGACCCCATAAAGTACATATATTCTTGATCAGGATCACTAGCCGAGTCGATCTAGCCATGTCCGTCTGTCTGTCCGGCCGGATGAACGCCGAGATCTCGGAAACTATGGGAGCTAGGCTATTGAGATTTGGCGTGCAGATTCCTGAGCTTCTTACGCAGCGCAAGTTTGTTTCAGCAATGTGCCACGCCCACTCTTACGCCCACAAACCGCCCAAAACTGTGGCTCCTACAGTTTTGATGCTAGAATAAAAATTTTAACATAAGTGTATTCTTCTCATCAATACCTATCGAGTGACCGAAAAAAAAGGCTACACCCACTCTAACGCCCACAAGCCGCCCAAACCTGTGACGGCCACAGTTTTCATGCTAGATAAAAAATTAACTGAAATGTATTGGTCGTCAATACCTATCGATTGATTCAAAAAAAATTTTGCCACGCCCACTCTAACGCCCATAACGCTTAAATCTGTCTACCGCCGGTAGGTGGCGTATTTAAATCTCGATTTGCTGCTTGCATATCTCCATTTCCCTTTGGTCCCTTTAGCTGAGTAACGGGTATCTGATAGTCGAGATACTCGACTATAGCGTTCTTCCTTGTTATACCCGTTACTCGTAGAGTAAAAGGGTATACTAGATTCGTCGGAAAGTATGTAACAGGCAGAAGGAAGCGTTTCCGACCCCATAATGTATATATATTCTTGATCAGGATCACTAGCCGAGTCGATCTAGCCATGTCCGTCTGTCCGTCTGTCCGTCTGTCCGTCTGTCTGTCCGTCCGGATGAACGCTGAGATCTCGGAAACTATGGGAGCTAGGCTATTGAGATTTGGCGTGCAGATTCCTGAGCTTCTTACGCAGCGCAAGTTTGTTTCGGCACAGTGCCACGCCCACTCTAACGCCCACAAACCGCCCAAAACTGTGGCTCCTACAGTTTTGATGCTAGAATAAAAATTTTAACTGAAATGTATTGTTCTCATCAATACCTATCGATTGACCCAAAAAAAAGTTTGCCACGCCCACTTTAACGCCCACAAACCGCGAAAACCTGTGACGCCCACAATTTTCATGCTAGATAAAAAATTTTAACTGAAATGTATTGGTCTCGTCGATACCTATCGATTGATCCAAAAAAAAATTTGCCACGCCCACTCTAACGCCCATAACGCTTAAATCTGTATACCGCCGGTAGGTGGCGCATTTTAATCTCGCTTTGCTGCTTGCATATCTCCATATAGCTGAGTAACGGGTATCTGATAGTCGAGGTACTCGACTATAGCGTTCTTCCTTGTTTTGGTTGTGTTTGTCTGCTGCTTTTCTTTGTTTGTGTATGCATGCATGCACGCCGATTTAATTTTTTGGCCTTGCCGTCGTGGTGTGTGTGCCTTTGTGCGCTGTATAATTGGGTGGAGGCTTTATGTTTTGTTGCTGGTTTTCGGAATTTAAAATGCCGGCAATCAAAGGGCACAAAACCTACATATCCAAACAAGCCGTTATAGGTGTTGTTTGCATGTGTTGTATGGAATATTATTAAGCAATAGAAACGTACAATAAATGGAAATGAACAATAAATGGACCAAATTGCAAAATTTTTGTTATTGGTATTTAAAAATAAGGTCAATCAAATCAGAGAGGGCGGAGAGGGAAATATTTGTTTACAATTAGTTCTACTCGAGAAAGAGATGGACAATATTTAAATATGTTATTTTAACTTACAAAAGGTACCAAATGGTTTTAGTTAGCGTATTACTCGCAGTCGGGTTCATTTTCTTTTCTTCCATTGTCGAATTTAAAACACTTGTAAAATTAAACAAAAAATGATATGTGCATACATGCATACATATATACGTAATGCACTTTTATACCGGCATCTGATCACACAAACACATATAGCCGCTTGTTCATATTTTACACGATCGCCTACGCAGCACAGTTTAAACTGCGCCACTCTTTAATTAAGGACACTATACTTCAGATAATGAGTCCACAGCAAGTCGATTGTGTAACTTTGAACTATTTAGCAACTAAGCGTACGCGTAAGCGGTGCCGGCACCTAATTGCCCGTCCGCGATGATGTCCGATCTCACTTTGAATAGTCCGCTTTGAACTGCTTACGCAGTAAAGAGTATAAAAGTATATATAAGTATAAGAGAAAAGAGAATAAGACAGAGGGAGAGATCGAAAAAATGGCGCACGCTGAATGCTTCCACATGCACAGGGCGAAAAATACCTAGTCTGATTCGATTTAAGCTTTAAGCACTGCTCACGGAGTTAGGTCAATAAGAGAGAGGGAGAGCGAAAAAAATGATGGCCGCCTGCGCACACTGAACGCTTCCAAATACACTGTTCCCAAAAATACCTAGTATGAATGATGTATTACATTTTATTGATTAATGCTTTCGCGTATATAAATATTTAATTAATAAAAAGCTAACAAACAATGAATAATTCATGAATGACAAAGAAACAGAACGAAATAATAAAAAGTTTGTAATAAATAATTTTGTATTGTACATGAACATAAATCAATAATTATTATTAATAATGAGGAAAAATTATGGAAAACGTGGCATTTAAACAACATGTATCCTTAGATTTAGATAGTTTTATTTTCTTTAAATTCAACATTCCATATTTTTCTCCAAGTGCCTGAGCCGTCGGCTTCGACCGAGACAGAGAGAGAGCGAGAGTGATGTGGACACACAGAGAGAACGGAAATGAATGGGACAAAAATAATAAGTAAATAACATTGTATTAAATTGAATACTGAATAATAATTAGGTTAATTACAAATAAAAAGAAAATAATAAGTAATGCATGGTATTTAAACAAGTATATCTTCGTGTTAGATTTTTAAATTTTAATTTTTCTTAAATTTAACATTCCCTTTTTTCTCCAAGTGAGCAAGCCGTTCTCTTCCATAGACACAGTTGGGGAGAGGGAAAGAGAGAAATTTAAAGTCAAAGAGAGGAGTAAACACAAAGAGAGGGAAAAAATACTTTACATTTTCGATGAATTCTGCCCATCAAAATATGTTTGTACATATGTAAAACATCTGAATAACGGCCCGCAAAAGAATGATAGCACAAAGAAAAAAAATGTTACAGATGCGCAAGAAAGCACGGTAACTAGACTGGTTGGCGCCAAAAATGGTTGCGGTTAATTATACCCGTTACTCGTAGAGTAAAAGGGAATGCTAGATTCGTCGGAAAGTATGTAACAGTCAGAAGGAAGCGTTTCCGACCCCATAAAGTACATATATTCTTGATCAGGATCACTAGCCGAGTCGATCTAGCCATGTCCGTCTGTCTGTCCGGCCGGATGAACGCCGAGATCTCGGAAACTATGGGAGCTAGGCTATTGAGATTTGGCGTGCAGATTCCTGAGCTTCTTACGCAGCGCAAGTTTGTTTCAGCAATGTGCCACGCCCACTCTTACGCCCACAAACCGCCCAAAACTGTGGCTCCTACAGTTTTGATGCTAGAATAAAAATTTTAACATAAGTGTATTCTTCTCATCAATACCTATCTAGTGACCGAAAAAAAAGGCTACACCCACTCTAACGCCCACAAGCCGCCCAAACCTGTGACGGCCACAGTTTTCATGCTAGATAAAAAATTTTAACTGAAATGTATTGGTCGTCAATACCTATCGATTGATTCAAAAAAAATTTTGCCACGCCCACTCTAACGCCCATAACGCTTAAATCTGTCTACCGCCGGTAGGTGGCGTATTTAAATCTCGATTTGCTGCTTGCATATCTCCATTTCCCTTTGGTCCCTTTAGCTGAGTAACGGGTATCTGATAGTCGAGGTACTCGACTATAGCGTTCTTCCTTGTTTTGGTTGTGTTTGTCTGCTGCTTTGCTTTGTTTGTGTATGCATGCATGCACGCCGATTTAATTTTTTGGCCTTGCCGTCGTGGTGTGTGTGCCTTTGTGCGCTGTATAATTGGGTGGAGGCTTTATGTTTTGTTGCTGGTTTTCGGAATTTAAAATGCCGGCAATCAATGGGCACAAAACCTACATATCCAAACAAGCCGTTATAGGTGTTGTTTGCATGTGTTGTATGGAACATTATTAAGCAATAGAAACGTACAATAAATGGAAATGAACAATAAATGGACCAAATTGCAAAATTTTTGTTATTGGTATTTAAAAAAAAAGGTCAATCATATCAGAGAGGACGGAAAGGGAAATATTTGTTTACAATTAGTTCTACTCGAGAAAGAGATGGACAATATTTAAATATGTTATTTTAACTTACAAAAGGTACCAAATGGTTTTGGTTAGCATATTACTCGCAGTCGGGTTCATTTTCTTTTCTTCCATTGTCGAATTTAAAACACTTGTAAAATTAAACAAAAAATGATATGTGCATACATGCATACATATATACGTAATGCACTTTTATACCGGCATCTGATCACACAAACACATATAGCCGCTTGTTCATATTTTACACGATCGCCTACGCAGCACAGTTTAAACTGCGCCACTCTTTAATTAAGGACACTATACTTCAGATAATGAGTCCACAGCAAGTCGATTGTGTAACTTTGAACTATTTAGCAACTAAGCGTACGCGTAAGCGGTGCCGGCACCTAATTGCCCGCCCGCGATGATGTCCGATCTCACTTTGAATAGTCCGCTTCGAACTGCTTACGCAGTAAAGAGTATAAAAGTATATATAAGTATAAGAGAAAAGAGAATAAGACAGAGGGAGAGATCGAAAAAATGGCGCACGCTGAATGCTTCCACATGCACAGGGCGAAAAATACCTAGTCTGATTCGATTTAAGCTTTAAGCACTGCTCACGGAGTTAGGTCAATAAGAGAGAGGGAGAGCGAAAAAAATTATGGCCGCCGGCGCACACTGAACGCTTCCAAATACACTGTGCCCAAAAGTACCTAGTATGAATGATGTATTACATTTTATTTATAAATGCTTTCGCGTATATAAATATTTAATTAATAAATAGCTAACAAACAATGACTAATTCATGAATGACAAAGAAACAGAACGAAATAATAAAATGTAATAAATAATTTTGTATTGTACATGAACATAAATCAATAATTATTATAAATGATGAGGAAAAATTATGGAAAACGTGACATTTAAACAACATGTATCCTTAGATTTAGATAGTTTTATTTTCTATAAATTCAACATTCCATATTTTTCTCCAAGTGCCTGAGCCGTCGGCTTCGACCGAGACAGAGAGAGAGCGAGAGTGATGTGGACACACAGAGAGAACGGAAATGAATGGGACAAAAATAATAAGTAAATAACATTGTATTAAATGAATACTGAATAATAATTAGGTTAATTACAAATAAAAAGAAAATAATAAGTAATGCATGGTATTTAAACAAGTATATCTTCGTGTTAGATTTTTAAATTTTAATTTTTCTTAAATTTAACATTCCCTTTTTTCTCCAAGTGAGCAAGCCGTTCTCTTCCATAGACACAGTTGGGGAGAGGGAAAGAGAGAAATTTAAAGTCAAAGAGAGGAGTAAACACAAAGAGAGGGAACAAATACTTTAAATTTTCGTTGAATTCTGCCCATCAAAATATGTTTGTACATATGTAAAACATCTGAATAACGGCCCGCAAAAGAATGATAGGACAAAGAAAAAAAATGTTACAGATGCGCAAGAAAGCACGGTAACTAGACTGGTTTGATGCCAAAAATGGTTGCGGTTAATTATACCCGTTACTCGTAGAGTAAAAGGGAATACTAGATTCGTCGGAAAGTATGTAACAGGCAGAAGGAAGCGTTTCCGACCCCATAATTTTAACTGAAATGTATTGGTCTCGTCGATACCTATCGATTGATCCAAAAAAAAATTTGCCACGCCCACTCTAACGCCCATAACGCTTAAATCTGTATACCGCCGGTAGGTGGCGCATTTTAATCTCGCTTTGCTGCTTGCATATCTCCATATAGCTGAGTAACGGGTATCTGATAGTCGAGGTACTCGACTATAGCGTTCTTCCTTGTTTTGGTTGTGTTTGTCTGCTGCTTTTCTTTGTTTGTGTATGCATGCATGCACGCCGATTTAATTTTTTGGCCTTGCCGTCGTGGTGTGTGTGCCTTTGTGCGCTGTATAATTGGGTGGAGGCTTTATGTTTTGTTGCTGGTTTTCGGAATTTAAAATGCCGGCAATCAAAGGGCACAAAACCTACATATCCAAACAAGCCGTTATAGGTGTTGTTTGCATGTGTTGTATGGAATATTATTAAGCAATAGAAACGTACAATAAATGGAAATGAACAATAAATGGACCAAATTGCAAAATTTTTGTTATTGGTATTTAAAAATAAGGTCAATCAAATCAGAGAGGGCGGAGAGGGAAATATTTGTTTACAATTAGTTCTACTCGAGAAAGAGATGGACAATATTTAAATATGTTATTTTAACTTACAAAAGGTACCAAATGGTTTTAGTTAGCGTATTACTCGCAGTCGGGTTCATTTTCTTTTCTTCCATTGTCGAATTTAAAACACTTGTAAAATTAAACAAAAAATGATATGTGCATACATGCATACATATATACGTAATGCACTTTTATACCGGCATCTGATCACACAAACACATATAGCCGCTTGTTCATATTTTACACGATCGCCTACGCAGCACAGTTTAAACTGCGCCACTCTTTAATTAAGGACACTATACTTCAGATAATGAGTCCACAGCAAGTCGATTGTGTAACTTTGAACTATTTAGCAACTAAGCGTACGCGTAAGCGGTGCCGGCACCTAATTGCCCGTCCGCGATGATGTCCGATCTCACTTTGAATAGTCCGCTTTGAACTGCTTACGCAGTAAAGAGTATAAAAGTATATATAAGTATAAGAGAAAAGAGAATAAGACAGAGGGAGAGATCGAAAAAATGGCGCACGCTGAATGCTTCCACATGCACAGGGCGAAAAATACCTAGTCTGATTCGATTTAAGCTTTAAGCACTGCTCACGGAGTTAGGTCAATAAGAGAGAGGGAGAGCGAAAAAAATGATGGCCGCCTGCGCACACTGAACGCTTCCAAATACACTGTTCCCAAAAATACCTAGTATGAATGATGTAT